ACCAAATAACTTCAATAAAAAATATATATGTGGGTGTGTTCATAAACTACTATGCTTTTTATAATTAATTTTTTTCCGGTAATCTTTTCTAAGTGAAATGAACTTTTTAACGATTGTTAAAAAAATTGTCGGTAAAAACATAACTTTGTATAAGGTTGAAGTCAAGTGATGTAGAGGACTGGTGTTTATTTATTTATTTTTAGGATTAAATGAAATTAGGTTTGTTCTTGTTTGTACCTTGGTTTTACTGCTGGTCAAATATTAGTAAAGTGGTTCAAACTAGTTGATGTAATCCATCCAACTTCTGCTGACAAAATCAGGTCTTAAAGTTGGCAAATACATTTGTTAAGGAGAGAGGATAGAACCTTTACGGAGCAGATTCTTGATTAATTTAGGATGTGATTATGAAGTTTGTTTGAAATTTTGGCTGCATATTTCTATTATTATTTTTGAATGGAATTTTATAATCAGAAAGATGGTTTCATCTTGTTTGTGAACATATTTTCTCATCTTTGCTATGTGACTTATTAGATTTAAGGGTTAATAGATATATCTTCATATAAGTGTGAAATGGATTATGGGGGTATTAGTCAGATATAAAGAATATAAAGGATAGTAAATACTTATAAATACCACATTATCCTCATAAATTTCTTAATCTGGTGGATTATTATGTTTTTGAAATTTCTATGAAATACTTAGTGAACTACACATAGCTAGAGTACAATGTACAATTATCTGAATTTGTCATTTTTCTACGTTATATTAGCCTAACAAGGTACAGGTAATGAAATGTATGCAATTGAATGAAATATAGCGAGGGCTAGCAAACTTTAGTTCATTGTTTCTTCACGACTAAACAATAATGTATTGTTTAATTAAAAATACCAACATGTATACAAAGTTCAGTTGACTTAAAATACATGTATAATATTAGCATTGAGGAATATAAGTTAATATTATTATTGTTCTCTGATATTGATAAATACTGATAGTTCAATTGGTGATTTATTTGAACACATTGGTTGATGATAGAACTGGATATAAACTAAAATCAATATCAAATGTTAGTTTAATATGTAATTATTGACAAATACTGATAGTTCAATTGGTGATTTATTTAAACACATTGGATGATACAACTGAATATACACTAAAATTGTGCGGGCATCCATCTATCATGAAGTTAAAAATTAAATTTCTTGTTTATGTCAATTTTAAATAACAAATCCAAGTAGAATGGTGTGTTATGATATCAGTAGTATCATCAGAAGAGACCTAGTATCTTGAACCTGTCAGGATACATTGTCATTGTACTAGATAATCACCAAATCTGGTGTTAATGTCAGTGTTATTTACCTGTGGTCAAATTAGATTTTTAAACCAGTTATTTTGTTTTTCTTAAAGAGAGATCTTTTATAAAATCAAACTTGAAATAATTCAGCATTGAATAAATCATCAGAAATTTTAAATAACAACCTTGATATATTATTTCATATCATCATAATAAAATATAAGTACAAAGAATTAGAAGTGTATCATCAGGGAATATATAAAGATAAAAACTGTGTACATATATCTGTAGCTCAGTAACCTAATAATTAATTTAAAGTTGTCTATAGATACAGTAACACACTAACAGTGATAGATAGCTACAAATTAAAATATGATATTCGGTATCAAAAAATGACATCAAATTTCATCATTCCATGTTTGGTCATTTTTAAGGACTCAAACCACAACCATTCCGTTTTCTGAGTTTTTTATCCAATGACTTCTTCGAGCTTGTTTTCTGATTTTAATTGTCCCATATAGCTAAATTTAAACTAGTAAACATTAGAAACAAAACATATTTTTCTAGAAAAATCCTTGAATATCAAAAAGGGAGGCATATGACAAGGGAATGACAAGTGCACAAGGGTCAGTAGGGGATCTTATAGGTCTAGGTAATTAGCATAAGTTACCTGTACTACTAATGCAAATTGTGTAGTAATGATAGACCTATTGTAACATATTTCTAGTTTACCTGGAGCCAGGGTGGCTCAGTAAGGTGCTGGCTCACTAACTGGAACATCCAGGCCCCGGTTTCACAAAACATTCTCAGTCTTAAGTTAACAATTTATTCAAACTTATTCTCCTTATTTTAACTAAAATATAGCCCTTTATAAACTTTTATTGCTCTAATGTATCAAATACATCAATAAGAAACTATGTGCAAAGTTTCGTTTTTCTTGATCACAGATATTTTTCATAAACAGGGATTGAAAGTTGAGCAAATTCTTATCTTAAATCTGAGAATGTTTTGTGGGTTGAGAAACGTGGTTTCTCCTTGTCAATAGTGCAGGACAAGAGGGCTTGACAAGGAACATTGTCTATACCATTTAGATGGAACGAAAAACCGAAATCCTGTGTACACCTTGCCGTGGTGTGCATGTATCAGAACCCTTGACATTTGGAATTCAATTCCAAATTTTCCTCATTGCTCTTCTTCATTAGCCTTGTTGAAGCAAAAAAGTAGGATGTTAAACCCCATTTCATACATTCATTCATTCTAGTTTACTAATGATTTCCTTATTTAGATTGGGGTTGGTTGGCCCAATGGTTAACAACACATGCACGTTTGATTCACAGATCTGTCATTATATAGCCTTGTTGAAGCAAAAAAGTAGGATGCTAAACCCCATTTCATTCATTCATTCTTTCATTCATTCAGAAGCCACGCTGGCTCACTAGCCTGGAGGTCGAGCCAGCAGGTCGCCTGTTCAATCCCTGCATTGGCAGAGAAAGTTCATCAGGATTTTCCGACCCGATTTCCTCTTGTCAGTGGTGCAGGACGGAGGACCTGACAAGGACAGCTGTCTAGTCGTTCAGAAGGCACGAAATACCGAGGTCACATGTACAGATTGGCGGGCACGTAAAAGATCCCTTATAAGAGTAGGCCACAGTGCCGCTGCCCAGGCAAAATTTCCCTCATAGCACACTGTATGGTGTATGCCCGTCTTCATTAGCCCAGTCAGGAGCAGAACAGTAGGAGGTTAAACCTCATTTCATTTCATTCATTCATTCACTCATTCATTCTAGTTTGATAATGATTTCCTTATTTAGATTGGTGGGTTGGGTGCCTGAATGGTTAATGCGTGCACATTTGATCATTGAGTCAAGTGGTGTGGTTTTGATTCCCCGCTTGTACGTGACAAGGAATTGGGGCGTCTGTCCAACCTCGTCGGTTTCCTCCCATTGCTAAAGACCCCTACGCACAATCAAATTATTGAAAAAGAAATTGAACCATTTTTTGAGTCCCATAATGACCTAGTTTGTGTGGAGTGGAGTTAAAGTTTAACTTAAACCCCCTCTCTGTCTTTCTCTCCCTATCTTGATTAGATTGAATTAGCTTCAGGGTACTTGTACTAATCTTGTTACTTTATGTTATTATCAGTGAAGTGGAACATCACTACACTGGTGATTATTTATAGTTTGATTTCAGTCAGGTTTCATTTAAAGGGTATTTTATCGATGTTTTTAGCTTCAAGCCTGCTCATCAGATGCAATCAATTTATCAAAGTTATTAGTTCTTAGCAATGACTAGAATTATAGTTTTGTTAGTTATTGGATATAGGTAAACTATAGTTTTACTAGTTATCAAATATAGGTAAAATATAGATTTATTAGTTCTCAGATATATGTAAACTACAGTTCTTACAAACTGCTAAACTTTAGTTTTATTAGTTCTTGGTCATATGTAAACAACAGTTATAAAAATAGCTATATAACTACTATTTTCTTTTGATTTTGATTCACTTTTTTTTTCCTGCATTAAAAAGAATAAATTTGTAATGAGTTTTACACCTGTGGAATTTCTGAAGAGATCGACAAGTTAATGTAGTTTGGGAATGCCATATGTGTTCAAGGAGTATTGATGTTAAAATACATAATAATATAATCTTTAAATTATGTATAGTATTAGTAACAGGTTATTTGGTTATATCAATAATTTTGATCATGTAACATATTTTGTCTGGTGATATCTCGTAATTGTCTGGTGATATCTTGTAATTGTCTGGTGCAGTCATGGTTTGGTGATATTTCATAATTGAAAGAATAGAAATTATCTAATTTTCCATTCTGTCACTGTTAGATGACTATAAAAGTAGTTGCTGTGGCAATGTTATGAAATCTAGTGATTTAAGAATAGAAATCAATATTGAAATTTTATTTAAACTAGATGATTACTGGTACAGTTGGTTATTTTGTGTGTTAGGACAATACTAATGTTCTCAAGTGGATTTTAAAAGCAAGTGATTGTTATTGGTGGTGATCAGGGAAGTATATAATTAAAGGATTTGACTATATTTGACTAGTGATTAGTACAACATTTAATCAAGATGGATTTATTATCAAAACATAACTACACAAGACTACCGGTAATTGTTATATAATATTTTCTATATTAAAGTTTGCCAAATCATTTTGATTTTTTCTATGCTGGAATATATACAGTATCTAATAAGGGGGTGTTCCCAGAATGCTGGCGGACTTTGATACAACATTTTGCTAACGGTAATTAACGGATTAACAGTCTGCTGGCATTCCGGGAACAAACCCTAATGAGCTTGTATGAAATTATCTTTATACTACTTTTCACTAGTTTTAAGTTCCTAAATTTGATATACGTGTTGTAAAATTATCAGGTGAGTGCTTTATATTAAAGGCCGTAATACCAAAAATCTGTTTTTCTTCCTGTTCTTTTGGAGATTGCAAAGGACTATTAATATGGGTTCATCCCTCTGTCCGCCTGTCCCTAGTCTGTTGCACTTTTTAGAACACAATTATTGAGGTAGAATGCTCAAACTTTTTGTAGATGTTCATTAAGTGACTGTCGATACTGAGCATTTTCTGCTTAGATTAAGCAGGAATAATACAATCAAACTGATAAACAATGTTCTATTAATGTAAATGTAGCCACCTGAAATATATTCAATATTTTTTTTTATCTCTTGCAGGTTTTTCTTGAAAATAAAGAAACAGTTATTGAATATAGTCCTACAGAAACAAACCCACCAAATTTAGCTGCCAAAATAGAAGATATGGGATTTGTTGCCCGTATTAGAGATGTCCATCCAAGTCCTTCCTCAGGAAATCTACCCAACACCACAGTTGTCACAACCATAAACATTGAAGGCATGACCTGCCAATCATGTGTTAAATCCATTGAATCAAACATTTCATCGAAAGATGGCATCGAAAGCATATCTGTTTCTCTCCAGAACAAACAGGCTTCTGTACATTATAATCCGAACAAATTTAATCCTGTGAAAATTGCAGAAGCTATCGATGACATGGGTTTTGAGGCTAAAGTTGCCCATGACGACAGGTCCTCCTCGTCCGTCTGTGTCAAGATCAAGGTAGAAGGAATGACATGTCAGTCTTGTGTTAAAACTATTGAAACAAAAATGTCTACCCACAAAGGTGTCGTTGATATTAAGGTCTCGCTTTCTGATAAAGAAGCCATTGTGATGTATAATCCTCTGCACACGACACCTCAAACATTAAGCGATCAGATCGAAGATATGGGTTTTGACGCCACATTATATAAAGATGACTGTCACAGTTCTGGTGATGAATTTGATGAAATTGCTATCCGAAGTTTGAAAGAAGAAAATTGTGTTATTAATATTGTGGGAATGACATGCATAAGCTGCGTAAGAAATATTGAATCAAACATTTCGGGTAAACCTGGAATAAAAACCATAAACGTATCATTGGAAGGGAAGAGAGGGGTCATCAGTTATAATCCAGATTTAACGAATCCTAAAGCAATCGCGGATATGATTGATGATATGGGATTTGAAGCCAGTCCTGCTACCTCGGAAATGGTGAATGTAGATTTAAATGAAGATGTTAAGACTGTTATATTAGATATTAAAGGTATGACATGTCATTCGTGTGTTAAAACAATAGAAGGGAAAATAAGTGAACATCCTGGGGTGAAGAGTATAAAAGTTTTATTAGCTGAACAAGAAGGTCATATTAACTATATACATGATAGTACAACACCAAGATTATTATGTGAAGCTATAGAAGATATGGGTTTTACAGCTTCTCTAAAAGGTTTGTAGTCAGATTTGTTAAACAATCATTTATAACTAATTATCATGATCAGTCAAGTCTAAATATTATATATTTTCTTCAAAATCAAAACTTGGCATGCCACGTGCTGCCTATAAACCAATTTCTACACTTCAAATATTGTGGTGGTGTAATTGTATTTTTTTTTTTTCATAAAAATATCAAACTTGCTAACCTCTATAAATGGCTAAACATTCCGGATGACATGTTTATGGAAATAAAACTAAAACTTCAAATCAATAAATTTGAATCAATCTTATTTCACAATTATCAAATTTAATCTAATTTGTATTATACAATTCCTTTTCCTGTTTGTAAGCAGTATAACTCAAATGAAAGATTACAATTGTTGCTATAATTTACCTGTGAAAATGGACTAATCATCAACAACATTTGTAACAACAACAGGACAACTTTCATTCACTTCTTGAACTGTTGTAGCTTATTAGTAATGAACTCATAAAAATTGTGTCCCGGTGTGGGTTGGGAATTACCTTACAGAATGAATATGTGTTGATTCCATTCTCTCCCAGACAGATGGCACATACCGCTTTACACTTCCGGTATTGTAGATGAATATGAACCATGTACAAATAGTTTTAGAAATTGTTATACACATTGTCATAATCTGAATTTATTCATGCTTTTCAGACAATACATCAACATCCTCATCCAGTAAAACATTTACGAGATCTGTCAGTCAATCAGATGTCAATCATATCAAAAAGAAAGTAGAAATTAATCATATAGGAGATGAAGATTATGATAAAGCGTTTTTTAAAGTAACCGGTATGACATGTGCTTCGTGTGTTAACACCATCGAAAAAAACATTGGTAAATTAGATGGTTAGTAGAATGTTTTTTAAGACTTCGTATGATATTGTAGGCCTATATATGATTTTTTCATTTATATTTGTATTTTGAATATTTATTATGAATAATTTTCCTATTACGGTAAATTGAAAGCATGTCAGGTGTTATGGATGACAACACAATTGTTAGGTATGCTGTAAGATGTACTAGGGGGGTTGGATGGCCGAATGGTTAGCATGTGCGTGCTGTATCATAAAGCCTGTCATTGAGTCAACTGGCGTGGTTTCAAATCCCCGGTTGTATATGACAAGGAGTAGGGTCGCCTGTCCAACGTTGTGGGTTTTCTCTAGGTCCTCCGGTTTTCTCCCACTGCTAAAGACTCCTACGCGTAAGCAAATTATTGAAATAAAATTAAACCATATGTTAGTCCCGAAATGAGCTAGTTTGTGTCGAGTGGACGTTAAACCCCATTTCTCTCTCTCTCTCTCTGTAAGATGTACTAAAGGGCATCAGCTAGATCCATAGAATCAGTTGACCAGCTTAGGGAACCTATATACTAGTTGGAGGTCCGATACATAGGAAATTATAAGTTGTTAAATTATTGCTGTTAATTATTTGTGTGCCCATTTCTACCTATCTAATTATTTGCTCCTGAAATAAAGTGTTGAAGATCCATTCCAAGAATCTGTATCAATTTCTGATACTTAGAGAACACACATTGATGAGCTACATTCCCTAAAAGTCGAACGGTGTTAATACTCTTAGAAATCTTTATCCTACTCTGGTATAGGCTATAGCTATTTCAGTTTGCATGTTTGCGGTGATACATCCCCAAATACCATGCTCCATATCTCCAATTTCCTTGATAACCAATTCTACATACTTACATAAGTTTTAGTAGTAACCTTACCAAGTCACTTTTATAATTCAACACTTGAATTTCTTAAATCAGTTACCAAATCTCGACTTCAAATCCAAATGGCTCAATACTTTAAAAATAATCTTCCTGATGAGATATTTGGACTCTGTCTTCACATTTTTTTTTGGATTTGTATACTTAGAACCTCTTTTATTAGTTGGTACCCTGATAAATGCCAATTTTTTATTTTTCTAGAAAGATTTCAGAAACATTGTATTCAATCTGGTTAAAACACAGATGTGATTTCGTTTCGTTTTTATAGTTCAAAATTTCGTTTTACTTGTCTTTACTACACTTGGATCTGGAAGAGTTGTTATTTAACTCGTGTTCTGAATGGTGTCAGGGATAAGCCAATGAAACAGTCTGTTACGGCGAGCTTTAGGGGTGTTTTTCACGGAACTGTGGGTAATCCACTAGTAACATCTATGCTGATTGGTTAATCAAATGTCTGACATCATAGGGTCATAAGTCGGTCTTTTGACCCCTGACCTGACCTATCACTATAACTTGTCAGATCTTCATGTAGTGTAGGCCATCGAAAGTATAAAAAAACGAAACGAAATATAGATCTGTATTTTAATCAGATTGCATTGTATTGTGCATGCATGTACATTACATATTACAGAAATTTGTAAATTACAAAATTAGCCTGATACCTGAAGTGTTTTAACATTATTACATTTTTACAGGTGTAGTGAGTGTGTTAGTAGCATTATTAGCTCAAAAAGCCGAAGTAAAATATGATGCAGCGTACATTCTACCATCACAGATAGCACAAGCTATAACAGATCTAGGTTTTAATGCGACGGTTATGGATAATGAAGCCGTTGGGGAAGGTGTCGTAGAATTAAATGTAAGTATCTATTATAGTGAGGCTCAAGTTTACTGCTTCATGCAAAGACGGAAATGAAATGAGGTTTAAGGTCTTACTTTTCTGCATCAATGACACTAATAAGATGGGTGTACGCCATGCAGTGTGCTTTGGAGGAAATTTTCCCCAAACAGCGCCATTTCCAACTACTATTTCAACTGTCAAGGACTATTTTTATGTGCATGCCATCGGGTGCACTAGTGGACCTTCATTTTTCGTGACATCCGATTAGCTAGGCACTTTCCTTCACAGACAAGGAGAAAAAAGGCCAGAAAATCGTCCACCAACGGTATAACATGGAAGCTCCTGGTTAGTGAGCCAGCACCAAACTTGCTGAGTCACAGTTTAAGTTCATTTTGTTTTATCAAATCAATGATAGTTAAGAAGCCTGTTTAGTATGAAATACCATAATCTGAATTGTATTGTCACTGATTATAGGATATTTTGTTTTCAAGGAAACTTTAGTTAATTCCTTTTATCATGTTCTTAGATATGACACATACTTGCTTGGAAAGGTTGAGAGAATCTCTTCGAAACATCTCCCAAATAAATTGGTATATATTATAGTTTATTAAATAGATAGTTGATATTTTCATTTGGAAATTCTTTGAAATCCGTCATCATTGTCATGTGCCGATTTATTTCCTTATTACTTCAACCAAAAACGTTTTGAGTAGTCCATATTCTGATTACATCAATCAGCAGTCCAGTCACACGATTTGCATTGAATTAACATTGGATAATCCAACCTTCAATCAGTGGGTGTTAAAGTCTAATACCAATGATTTTCAACAAAGTTTCCATAAATCTTAAATATAAATTGATAAATAATCCCCTCTGTAGCACAAGCAAAAAAGTTTTTGTAAGCGAAAAATTAATTTTTATTAAAACCGGAAGTGACATAGTTGGTTCAAGACGCTCACTGGGCTCTAGTAAGCATACAGATTTGGCATAAGTTTACTGCTGTATTGTGTTCTCACGTCGTCCTTTGGCCAAAAGTCTGATCAAATGGGCTGTTTATTAGGATATTATAAACACAAATTTATGTTTTTTTAACATTTAGTACACAAAGCCGTCGCGTAAATTCACACATACTGGCTAATTGTTTACATCACATGGTTTTTTAATTGATTTTTATTTTTCAGATTCAGGGAATGACTTGTTCATCTTGTGTTCATTTAATTGAATCAACTATGCTCAAGAGACGGGGTATACAGAAAGCTTCTGTTGCTTTAGCAACATGCCGTGGTAAATTCTCATACGATTCAGAAATTACTGGTCCCAGGGATATAATCAGTGCTCTTAAGGTATTGTCAGTTTTAGATTTAATACTCTAATTCATGTCTCTATCAAATTAAAAATAAATGGATGTATATTTGTTGATGCTGTACAAAATTTGATACAGACTCTTAGGGGGATTTTCTGAAGAGTTATTGTACACAAATTTTCTAAATTTGCGGTCAGCTGAAATTGGTTAGGTATCTAAATCTGAGTTTTGACTTTGACATAAACTTTTGAATTTAAAAGTGGTTACCTTGGTATGTCTCTGCATTTGCTTAATATGTGGATATAAAATCTCATCTTGCAAAACAACTGCACATATAATTGTTTTAATTTTAAACCAAAATCAAAGAATTTGTATCATTTTAAATGACCATTGTGGAATATAATCTATATGTTTTATACTGGTAAACTAGTGTGCTGCATAATTACTAATAAATATTCATTTCAGGGTCTAGGTTTTGAAGCATCTTTAATAACTGATGATGATGAACAAGCATCTCGTTATGATCTGAGAGACGAAATTAAAAAGTAAGTTCTATTTTACATGGAGCGTAATCAGGAACTTATATTTTTTGAAGTTTAGTAATTTTAAAAGCAATTTGGGGATGTCTAGATCATGCAGCAAAAATTGCTAATTTATATCGGAAAAAAACAACCTTACCCAAAGTTTTCAAGGTTAAAACATATGAAATGAATCCAGCTGTTAGAAGCAGGAACCGACCATAATACAATAATAAAGGTATTAGGTATTTCAGAATAAGTATAAAAATACTCTGAATTCTGTACTATACATGACAAAACATATCACATGTATTGATTGTTGGAGATCATTTAATGCATTCTTATTTCAATAGTATGCTTCCAATACGTTTTGAGGTGACCAGATTTGTACTGTTGCTTTCAGGTGGAGAACCTCATTTTTATGGTCATTAACTTTTGGAGTGCCAGCTATGATTATTATGATATATTTTATGGTTGCACCAGCACCAGAACAATCTTCTGAAGTTGATGAATCTGTCAACCCAAACATAACAACCACAGTTCGTACCACATTATTGGGACACGCAGAAAATAAAATCATGGTGTACCCAGGCCTGTCTCTAGAAAATTTACTTATGTTTATACTGGCTACACCAGTACAGGTAATCATTCATTTTAAATACATCCTCCATTTCTATTATTGGACTAGGAACTGAGTCCCAAGCATCTTGTTCATCTTTTCTCTACTTTCTTGCCATGCACTTAAAAAAAAACCTAAGGGCGCTGCCAATGCAAGAAACTTGGCATGCCTGTTGACGAACATTGATTTCTGATACAGCTTTACAATTCAATGTCAATGAAATAGAATTATATGGCTCTGTCTGAAATTCAGTGTTGCTTTGCTGAGCTACTGCTCTTTTCAACTCGAAGCTGGCACTGGCAATTCACAGAGAGGGTACTGACGATACAGGACTTTGGGTCCGTTAATTGGTAGGATGGGTTAAAGACTTGGTGAATAATCTCTTAATCAATTTCTAGCAAATTATATCTTATAATAGAATCACACAGGTGAATTATAAAAAATGGAATGTATGTGTAAAACCATTAAATGTAAAAGCAAATTAAAACTAAAACTGGTTTTAATCAGATTACATTAACAGTATAATTTTATTAAACTTTGTGTTTTCAGTTTATTGGTGGAAGATATTTCTATATACAAGCCTATAAGGCAGTTAAACATGGTGCCACAAATATGGATGTTCTGGTTGTCTTGGCAACTACAATTTCATATACTTACTCTGTGATAGTGGTGATTGTTGCTATGGCTCTAAATGAAATTTCAAGTCCAATGACGTTTTTTGAAACTACACCTATGTTAATGGTATTTATTTCTCTTGGTAGATGGCTGGAACATGTTGCCAAGGTAAGTTTTATATATAAATATAAAGCAATGTCCTGATTACATAACTAATTCTTTTTTTTTACATAAACTAATAATTTTAGGATTACATAACTGATATTTGAGTTTTTATGTCTACTAATTAAGCCATTCACAAACCAATAATAAAACCCTTTATAATTACATAATTTGCCCCGGAATAACATTAATATCTCAAATGAAGAGAGAAAGAAATGGGATTTAACATCCACTCGACACAAGCTAGGTCATTTTGGGACTAAAACATGGTTCTATTTTATTTCAATAATTCGCTTGTGCGTAGGGGTCTTTAGCGATGGGAGGAAATCGGAGGAACCAGAGAAAACTCACGAGGTTGGACAGGCGACCCCACTCATCGAAACCACGCCAGTTGACTCAATGACAGGCCTTATGATACAGCGCGCATATCACGAATGAGCCGAAAGGCAAGTGAGATCAGATACTCCAGAAAGAGTGAGCATTCACTGCCTCATGTATCACACATTGGAATCTCCCTCATTATATCCTAGAAGATGGTACAAAGAAAGTGTTTCTTATCCAAAAGATCCCGGCCTTGGTGTAACATGCTTGATAATTGATAACTCATTCATTTGACCAGTTGTGTATGTTATATGCTGTTTGTAATACTAATTTAATTGTATTAAAGGGTAAAACAAGTGAAGCTTTAGCTAAGTTAATGTCTCTACAACCTGCTGTAGCTATTTTAGTAGATGTTGATAAAGAATTTAATGTTCTCTCAGAAACAAGTATTAAAGTTGATTTAGTTCAAAGAGGAGATATTCTCAAGGTAAGTAATAATATTTACAGGGTAACTGATCTTTCTTACGTAAACCCTAAGATATTGATAACATAGAAATTAGGGTTTTAAGCCAATAACTCCTACTGTTAATATGATCAGAGAAATTTTGACGTCATCTCCATGGTTACCATGTAGCTCATTCCCAACACTTTCCAAACCTAATCAACAGCATAGATATGAGAAAAATAGTGAAAACTCAAAATCAGTTGTTAAATGAATATTACTTATAGGGGGTGCTCGATTGTCAGTCCTGAACGTCCCAAATTGACACAATTGCAATCTAGTAAAGTGGAATTCAGTCCTGTCACAATTCTGTCAGTCCCGACAACGGAGGTGGTGTGAGTAGAATAGTGATGTTATTGAACACAACCAATATGTTTCAGCTGTCATGGTTGGTTGAGATATTTTCTTATGCAGCTGACGCATGTTTTGTAGCCCAAAATCCCACTTTTCACTCCATTGTCACTTATTTGGAGATTGAGAGAATTCCATTTCGAGACATTCAATCGAGTATCCAAATAGTAACAAATAGCATCGTTTAAATTAGATCTTTACTTCATGAAGGAGAAAAGGACTTGGTTTTTGACTTTGTTTATATTAGCAGGGTTTACTGTATGTAATGTTTGTATATTAGCAGGGTTATTACTGTATGTAATTAACAGGGTTATTACTGTACGTAATGACTTGTATACCGCTAAGCAGGGTTATTACAGTACGTAATGACTTGTATACTGGTATGCAGGGTTATTACTGTATGTAATGTTTATATTAACAGGGTTATTACTGTATGTAATGTTTATATTAGTAGGGTTTACTGTATGTAATGTTTATATTAGTAGGGTTTACTGTATGTAATGTTTATAAGTAGAGTTTAATGTAATACTTATATTAATTACAGGTAGTACCAGGTGATAAAATAGCTGTTGATGGTAAAGTTATATATGGCCAATCAACATGTGATGAATCTCTTATAACAGGTGAAAGTATGCCTGTTGTTAAAAAAGTGGGTAAGTTGAACTATTATTAAAGTCCTGTAGTAAGTACTGGAGGACTTATGACACACAGCAACAGATAGACACGGACAACAGCCAGATGGCACATGAATATTGAAAGCCATAAGTGAACATAGTCACATCATATAATTACATTCTATCCAATCAAGAATAACACCATTTGATAGTGTGTCTAAAATCCAACTATTTTTAAAGTTGTTCCAGTGGCTACTTGTTAAATTATATCCCTTATAGTATTATTCATATATATCACAATATTTGAATAATTACAAAACTTGATTATACAGTCCAAAAACAACTTATATCAATGTATAATTGTGAATATCAGGACATTTACTGAAGATTTTAGTAATTTCCAACCATCAAGCTGAATGCATGACAATTTCTGTATAATAAGTACACTAAAGATTTATAAAGGATATACAGAATTTTAACTAATTTCTTATAGTTTGAACTATACATTATTAGTTTGGTAAAAAGATGTGTTTCTATCATGATATGACCTTGTCTTGCCAATGAAAATGTTTATTTTGTATACAGGTATGTCTGTGATAGGAGGATCTATTAATCAAAATGGTATGATATTAATGGATGCTACTCATGTTGGTGGGGAGACAACTCTAGCACAAATTGTCAAACTAGTAGAAGAAGCTCAAACGTCTAAGGTATTATATTAGTATTGTAGATATGTATATGTATTTAGTTTAGTTCTGAATGGAATGCTATATTAACAAATTGTTCTAGAATAAGTTGTGGGAAATTTTATGAAATTCAAATATAAGATGCTAACCACAGCACTTTTAAAATTCATTCTAAAATGAACCGATCATCTTGGAGTCATCAGAGGAAATCATAGGATTTTGACAGTGTATTATGAATGACATTCAGATGGCACTCGTGATACCACAAATAAAATGAATAAATAATGCTTCACTCCATTTAATATTAGATGTTTATTTGATTCTGGTTTTAATTTTGTTTAACTGAACTACATGAACATTGTACTGCCAGAATTTCTTTACCAATTCTCTATCATCTTTGAAAGTTAACTTTAGTCTCTGTGATTTGTTAGAATTATTCTTGTCCAAGGCAAATTGTCTGCTCATTAGGCACAGGTCATATCAGGGCCGTACTGTTAATGGCATAAAAGGGCCATCTGTCCAGAAGAGGGAGAAGTGATGAAAAATTTATTTCCTAAGACAGGCCAATATCAATATATAAATGTTTCCCATTTATGAGATAGTGAACCAAATTATTTTGAGCTGAATATTGTGAAATCTATGATGAACTGAGAGTGTAAACTCTTTATACAGAAAAAAACCATAATATGCATATAAAAACCTATTTGAGAGAAAGTCGTTTAGATATATCCAGATGAATCAATGTCATTTGTATTAAAATATACATCTTTTGAATATTAATCATTATCATAAAATTTTATATATTTTAGGCTCCACTACAGAATTTAGCTGATAAGATAGCTGGTTATTTTGTACCAGCTGTAGTTACTGTATCATTACTTACACTAGCTATCTGGACCTTGATAGGTTATGTAGATGTTAAACTTGTTAAACCAGATTTTAATGTAAGTATAATAAATAAAAGCATTACTTAGTAAATCAAAGTCATTTTAATAAGTGAAGGATATGTTTAGCCTTTAGGTAGTAGAGGACTTAGAAGCATTATTATTTTGTGGTTGGGGATAGGGCTAGACATCCAATATGCAATTTCTATATGACATAAAGACCACTTGATACCACTTTTAATTGGAGGGCTACACAGGCTTTGCAAATTTGGGTTGGACTTTAGTGTAAAGTTGAAATGAACGAGTATAGATAGGCTGGTACAAAAAAGATAGAATTATTATTACTATAAAGGTTTTAATTTCTGAATTTGAATAGGTTTGGTGCCAGATTTTAAAAGAAAAGTGTGTTTGAATGTGACCGGTTTTACACTCAATATTTAACTTTTATTCTGAAATATTGGAGCTTCGAGATATTTTATTTATACAATAAATATGTATTCTACTTTTAGCCCAATGGTCACATAACCAATCATGAAGTGATATTTCAAAGAGCGTTTCAGTTTGCTATCACTGTATTGAGTATAGCTTGTCCTTGTGCACTTGGACTAGCTACACCTACAGCAGTGATGGTAGGAACTGGTGTAGGAGCAACTAATGGTATTCTTATTAAAGGAGGAGAACCATTAGAAACAACTCATAAGGTAATTGAAAGTTGTGTTAGTATTTAGAAGGGGCATTAAACAGGTGCAATTGTGAATTGGTTATCAAATTATTAAAATTTGAGGGAGATGAATATGAAGTCAAAATTGATAGTAAAAAACTAATAATAGCTCAAATATAAAACTAAACTTCATGAATGTGCTTCCTTGTATGAAAAACATTGAATTATTATTGTAAAATGTGTGAAATCAATGAAACCAGTGTAATCTTTATAAGGCGATAAGTTAAAATAAATAGATTTAAATAATTTATTACCAGTTTAATTATCTGTAGTCAGTCTTAAACAGAATATTTAACTGGCATGTTTGAGCTTTTAAATGATATTTTTTTTACAGTTAAAACATATCGTGTTTGATAAAACTGGAACAGTTACACATGGTGAACCTCGAGTATCTCGTGTAGCCATTTTTGTTGAGAAGAAAGATTGTTCATTTATTGAAATATTATCTATAGCTGGAACAGCTGAAAACAGTAGTGAACATCCCATAGCAACAGCAATAGTTAAATATGCTAAACAGGTACAGTTATAGTTAACCATTCATTTTTCCAAGGAGTCATGTTATCTTTTGTCAGACAAGCAAAGTGTGCATAGTTGTTTCGATTGGAAAAAAAAAAATCAACTTGTATACATAGAGAATCTCCTACCAGTCTTTTTTTATATCAAAAAATATCAACACAAGTTGATAAAGTAACAAAAAACGAGGCTCTGCCGAGTTTTTTTTTTACTTTATCAACGAGTGTTGATATTTTTTTATATCAAAAAAGACGAATAGGAGATTTTATTTATCACCCAATCCCTTCTTACATGCACAAATAGATAAATATAATTCTTTGCTGTAGATTTCACTTTTACTGAACATTATGGCGTAGTGATACATCATTTTTTGACAGCAATTCAACCATTGCAAAGTCCTTTATATTGACCCAGTGTTTCCATCAAGGTCAATTGAATAACAATAGTTCATTTTTAATAAAAAAAATGTTACTTTTAATAAGAAATGAACTGTTTTTTTGAAAATAAAAACAAGTAGTTCCTTTTCAACTGAGATATCGCAGTAGATTATGAAATATATCACACAAGCGATATTTACTGTAGAATGTATTATTGGGTGATAAATTTTATTATATGCCCACATTTTCATCTGGACGTATATTGTTGTTTGTGGATACTCTACAGGTCGCAATTTTTATCCATGACTTTTAAATCATTGCAATTCAACCGTTGTTTCTTGTTCTATTAAAAGCTCTTTGTATTTTTGAATAGCTTACTAATGTATTTCTTCATATTATTTGCAGACATTAAAAGTGGAGACCTTGGCTAAAGTATCTGATTTTCAAGCTGTACCCGGTTGTGGTTTAAAATGTAAAGTATCACAAGTAGAATCTATATTAGAGAATGTAGATAGAAATGCTGTCAATAACAGAAGAAATCAGTTTGGTAGTTTACGTATAAAAATAGATAATCCTATATATGGTGATGAGGATGAATTAAGTGCTATACACATAGAAGGTAAGAATTCTCATACATAGAATATAATCTACTTTATATACTGGGTTAATATGTGAGTATTCCAACTCTTTCCTATAAAAATGTTAAACCAAACTAAATCTAGTTCATGCTATAACCAAGAGCTGTTAATAATCTTTGTATGAATATTTGTGTTCTTTATGCGGTCAGTTTCTGGCCAGAACTGGCTGGCTTAGAAATCCCTGTCCTTATATTTTGTATACAGAATGAAGTACTGAACTTAATTAGACATAAATGACTTCAAAACAAAATGTATAATCCAGTTTGTAATCTGTTTCTGTTTATGTATTAATTAAAAGCAAAGAATTAAAAAATAGATTTGAATGTTGTAACATGCATAAAAATGTCCAGCAGACAAAATGTTAAGAGATTTGACAGGAGGTGTTTAGAGTTCAGGTTTTGCTGTGTACTGATGATCATTTTCTTACAGCAGCCTGCCGACTGCTCTGTACCGAACAATACCAAGGAAAACAAATATGTTATTAATTAATTAATTGCTATTTAAAAGGATTATTTTCGTTTTCTTTCAGACATTGCAAGTGCTGGTGCTACAGCATCTAAATCATATGATGTTTTAATTGGTAATCGTGAATGGATGAATAGAAATGGTTTAACTGTTACTAAAGAGATGGATGATTGTATGACAGAACATGAAGAATTAGGTCACACAGCTGTATTGTGTGCCATAGATAATCGGGTAGCGGCCATGTTGGCTGTAGCAGACACAGTTAAAGCAGAAGCTCATCTAGCAATTCATGCATTAAAAGAAATGGGACTTGATGTTATTTTATTGACAGGAGATAATCAGAAAACTGCTAAAGCCATTGCACAACAGGTATTGAACTTGAAATGTTCTGATCTTTATGGGGGTGCAGTAGTGGTGTGATTAAGCCTGGTTACCATGTGTCTGGGGTAACTCTGATGAGTAAAGTTTGTCAAATCATTATGAAGGAACTTTATAAAGCACTGTATTTCAAACCATCATGGGGCATGATAAAATACTTTCCCGGTTTGTAGGATCCTCAGAGAAAGTTTTTCTTTAGTTCCAACCATGATGCCCGCAACGTACATACACCATCCCTTCTGCCAATGACAATTTAAATAAAGTGTTTTATTCAAGGACGCAAGGGTGTGACACACAGCTAATGTTAGGACCAATCATAAAACCATTTGATTACCTAGATCTAACTTGTTAACTGTGTATTTTCATTCATTTAATATCAGGTTGGAATCAATCGAGTGTTTGCCGAGGTTTTACCATCACATAAAGTAAAGAAAATAAAACAGTTACAAAGACATGGTAATAAAGTAGCTATGGTAGGTGATGGTGTTAATGACTCACCAGCTTTAGCTCAAGCTGATGTTGGCATAGCTATTGGAACTGGTACTGATGTAGCAGTTGAAGCAGCTGATATTGTTTTAATAAAGGTAAACTATGGACAAATAAACTTTTTAAAAATGAAATTGTGAAACTTGTATTTTATATAATTGCATCACAGTCAATAAAAACAAAGTGCCTGGTTAAAAAAAAAAAAGAATACCACCTATTAAATCTAGAATGGCCAAATTATAAATTGTTTTGATTTGATTTTAGACTTTATTCATCTTTGTCTCAAGTGGCATATTTAGTTTGTGCTGAAGGAGGCATATTGGGCAATTTTCCAGATCAAACAAAATAATTCTGTTTAGGCCATAATTATTTCATAAATCATTCATATGCCTCTTGTTCTCTTCAATATTCATTTGAGAATATGCAATTCAAATATATATTTACATACAAAGATGAAATAAATATTGATAATTAGAGTGTGATATGTTGTCATATAAAATATTTTACTATCAACAAGCCTAGATTTGTTTTCCAGATTATTGACATTGATGTTCAGTTATTTAACTTCTACACCAAGATGTAATTTTAATGTATTTATGTTTTTATAGAGTGATTTATTAGATGTATATACAGCCATTAAGTTATCTCGAGCAACTGTACAAAGAATAAGAATGAATTTTTTAGCAGCTTCTATATATAATATTGTTGGTATACCTATTGCTGCAGGTAAGAATTCAAATTAATACAGCGTTTTTAACTCAAATTTTAACTGTACAGACTGTGCAATTCAGTAATGTATACACTACACCACAAAGGCCATAGAAAAATCTGAAGCAGATTACAACTGCTACATCAAAATCATAATTTCAATTATCTTATGAACCCACTGATATAAAACATGAATATGTAATAAATTACCGTACACACATTTAAAATAAAGAATCTTAAACATTCTGTCTTAAATATAGATAATTCTGAATGTTAGGAAATATCTTTAGTTTGTGTGTTAAGTTGGTGTATTACACTCAAGTAACAACAGGCTAGATCAACTATGTGTGAAAATTGTATGCTATATTGTAGCAACTAGTGAAGACAGATGATTGGTAATGGGTGATTGATTTTGATTATATGTATATTATTATTGTTTACAGGTATTTTTACACCACTTGGTTTCTCTTTAGTACCATGGATGGCGTCTGCTGCCATGGCTATGTCCTCTGTTTCTGTTGTCTTCTCTTCATTACTCCTCAAATCGTAAGTATACAGTTCCCATAATTGAATTTAAAACGGGTTCGATTTAATGATTTGATCATTGTATGTCGTCATTTGACCTAGAAATTGGGAGAAACTCACTGATTGGCTGAAAATATTCAAATAAATTCAAATTTCAACTAATCATATACAGCTAATACTAGTTTGACCAAACATGTCAAACTTGGTGCGTTAACTGAATGTTTAGCAGCCTATGATTGCCTTGTCATTATGTCATGTCTGTCAGGCTGCAGTTGAGAATGAGTTAGAAATGTACATCACATATGTAATTAATAAGAAAAGCCGAGGTTATTTACTGTATAAACAAATGGAGTTACAGTGAAATAATGCACAAGAAAACACAGACAAGTCAATACATAGAGCTATTAAAGTTTACATTTTTTAAAAAAAGGACCATTACAGAGCTAGTAGTGTTACATAAAGTTGTTGTTTATTGCTTGCAATGATTATGTTATTTGTGTGTCTTGCACGCAGGTTAGTCGTATGCCCATGTTCATTAGCCCAGTCGGTGCAAAAAAATAGGACGTTTAACACCATTCATTTCATTTCTTTTGTCTTATGGGTTTTGTTTGTGTACATTTTTTTTCTTATTTTTAATTTTTTTTAAATTTTATCTTCTAGATTTAAGAAACCCAACAAACTAAAGATGATGACGGCAGAATATCATAAGAAATATTTTGACGATCAAACAGCAGATAATATCTCCATGCATCGTGGTGTAGAGGATGATTCTGCTAGTGCTAAGTCAAGTCGACAAGGCAGCATATTATCACGACTAAGTGGTAAAGCTAAACCCGCTACTCCTGATCAACGCAGTTTATTGGACCCAGTTACTGGCGATAATGACAATGAAATAGAAATGATAACTAAGTGCTAACTGTGATGATAATGAAATAGAAAAAGTGTTTAATCTGATGATAATGAAATAGAAATGATAACTAAGTGTTAAATCTGTTGAAAACAGTCATGAAACAAATGTTAACTCTGGTGGTAAAGAAATAGAAATGATAACTAAGTGTTAACTCTGATGATAATGAAATAGAAAAAGTGTTTAATCTGATGATAATGAAATAGAAATGATAACTAAGTGTTAAATCTGTTGAAAACAGTCATGAAACAAATGTTAACTCTGGTGGTAAAGAAATAGAAATAATAACTAAGTGTTAACTCTGATATTTGATCATGAAGTTCAACTAATTACCGATATTAAGTTTTAACTCTGATATTGATAATGAAGTAGAAATAATAAGTGAGAACAGCTAGTAATGGACTACTAATCAACCATTGGGAAAACTCTAAAATAAAATTATCAAAACAGCAATTGATATTAATTTTTTTTTTCAAATTGTTAATCTAATGATACAGTTGAAGGAATCCAAGTCGGCTAATTAAATGTAAATTTTGTACTTTTTTATTACAGAAATATGCTTTATCTTCAATATATTTACAGAATTAAGAAATATTCACTTGTAAAATAATGTACATTTATTTCCCATAATTTCATAATTGATCTAACATCTAACCCATAATTATATGGTTTGATGCATAAAAAAATTTCGAATCTGTAATCTGCTTTTGATACTGAATCTCCAAAACATTGGGGTGAATCTTAGCCACAATGTGGTTATTTGTTTGAAACACAGCTTTCTACTCTAGTAACAGTTGTATTCTCAATCCAAATACTGGTAATACAGTTGCTTAGTTCTAGACACTAATCACTAATAATATTGTCAACTGTAGCTTGTTAACAATTTATAAAGAATGATTAACAGTGATACAAAGGGTTAATGATTTTATATCTCTAAATCGATTATAGATAGCAAAACAACATATCATACATCAATGGTCAGGATGAAAAACAAATTTATTGTTTGTAAGCATATATGAAAATTTTTGCAAAGAAAATAACTTGAATCTCTGTGATTATAATACTTACTGTATTATTTGTAAACATACTTGTTTTTTTTTTTGTATATATCTTTTAAAATTTTCAGTCAAATAACTATGTTGGAAATCTGACTGATAATCAATTATGATCAGATATCCACCAGGAGTTTTATTTCAAAATTTTGCTGGCAAAATGTCTTTTACTAGAGTGCTATCTGAAAATATTATGAAAAATAAAATAAAAGTTGACAATTGACAATGTATGTACCTGTTATCGGTAAAATAATATCATTGAATTGTTCATTTCATTATTATATTTCAAGATTAATATATGATGTTATTTTTAGTATATAGTAAATATTATTGTAAAATAAAGTATTATAGTTGTTGTAATTAAACATTATGAGATTGAACATATTGAAATATTGAATATTCATTTAAATAGTGATAAATCGTTTTAAATTGTATAATAATTGTACTATAAAATATTTGTAATATATAATTATATTTTTTAATTCATTGTTGTTTTCCTGCAATGCTGTTAAACAGGATTGTCAATTTTATATAATGTAATATTAGCAATATTTTATATGAATGCATAAATGTCCCATTCTCCAGTCTTCGTATTGAAATAGTATTTCATTGACTTCTGCTAACACAATCTTTTGTGGCTCCAAGAATACTTGGTATCTTAAAAGGGATGGATGTCAGATAAGGTGGCATTGGTCTGTGAGGTATGAAATTCTCTGATGTGTCACAGTGATGATTTATTTAGATTGTTGTTGAACCAAATATAGTTGATTAATGATCTAGAGTGAAAATGGAGTTTAGTGTCCACTCTAGCTACACTACATCATTTTGGGACTAACATGATGTATTTTTACTCCAATAAATTGCTTCTGCACAGGGCCCTTTAATATTGAAGTCTGAGGAACCCATTAGGTCTGGCTGGCATTGTGCATGCATGGAACCAAATCTATGACTGAAAGGCCCTGAGCTTAGACACTCCCTCATTCTAAATAATAGAATTGTATTCAGTGTGTAATTTCGTTAATCATGTATAAAGTAAGAAATCCTATGTAGACAAGTATATGTTAACACTTATGTCAGTTATATGTATATAATCCAGATGTCTATGTTATATATATTGATATTGTATCTCTTATTTGATACAGATAAACATTATTAAATTATTTCATCTTTTTATAACTTTGTGGGGTGGTATCACCCATTTTAACCCCATCTTTTAACCTGTCAAATTAAATAAAACATATTTTAACTTGTCATGAGGTGTACGTCCCCCTTTTCTACATTCCTTGATCTCATCTCAATTGGTGGGTTTGCCAGTTTCCCTCAACTGCCCAAAACTGTTGTAGGCAAGAGAATTATTGAAATTAAAATATGCTATATTTTAATCTTCAAATAACCTAGTTTGTTTTGCTTGAACATTAAACCCTATTTTTTTTCTCTCTTAATGCAATGAGAAGACTATAAAACCAACTGTCTGCCAGTAAGACTCTCAATTCAAGTCATATTTCCCAGTTCTGACAGCTTCTTATGTTAACTGAATCAAACTGGTCATTTACCCTGAATATCACTAAGCAGTTGCAATTGCTGGCCCATACTCTAGAATATTTTAGGAAATAAATCAAAGATTGAAATATTTATTGAACAAGCTATCTATACATTGAAAACCCCAAAAATATCGGCCTGGAGAAAGAAAAGGTACAAATTAAGGGAAGTAACTCCATATGCTTTAAATTAACCACTCGTGATGCTGCATCTATTGTCTACTGGTCTGAACCTAGTTCCTTTAGGAACTGTCTCTGATCGGACGATGTCCGCTGATTGTTCATTTTCGTCCCTATATAGCTGCAATATGAAAATAACTCTCTTCCACACCTCTGTTCTAAGGCTATTTTGGAATCCTTACCGGCTATTTTTTACCGTGATTCTTCTTTGTTCGCCAAAGGAATCATTTTTTGCCGCATCTGACATTTAAAATAATATACACTATTTTCAAGTAGAATTTCGCGATTAAAAAGATACACAAAATACGTTTGAACTGATCAGCCATTACGATATTCGGACATGGCCAGACCGCATGTTTATTTAATCACCAAATTCTACTTGAAAATAGTGTTGCATAATTATAAATTTGTGTCAAATATAGTGAGAAATGATTCCTTTTGACAAAAAATAAAGAATCACGGTGACCAATAGAAGTTAAGGGTTCCAAAATAGCCATAGAACAGAGATGGTGAAGAGCTGTATTTACCGTATTTTCATATTGCAGCTATATAGGAACAGTTGTCTAATTACATGTTGCACGCTTTCTGTTAACGGTTTTTGAAATACATTGCTATTTTGAAGCTTAAGCACAGATCCTGGAACTTTATTGTTTGGGTCGACTGAATACTCCCACCCCACCCAATACCATCAAAAACCCTCGGAAAAAGTCATTTGTCCAAAATTATTTTTTATTTTGTTACTTTTTTCCCCCTCAGTTAATTTTATTCTTAACAGATCGTTTGCATGACAAAGGACACCTTTCATATACAGAATAATAATTTTGAATGACAATGGGGGTCTTACTTACGCCCAAATGATCAACCCCACAAAGTTTTCAAAAATTTTAATATCAAGAGTGCTGTCCACAAGATTAATAATTTCGGACGTATATTAATGTGGAAACGACTCAAAAATCTGTGATCGCAAAATGTTGAATTTCGATAAGATTTTTCCTTTGACTAAATGAATAAGCAGGCTATGTTTTTGAAAATTCACCAAGAAACGTGTTGCCCGTAACGGTCACAAAATATAGATCTATGACTAGAAATATAACTCGGCAAAATTTTGAAATTTGTCAGGTTCTTCCTTATACCATAATTTACAATCCCACAGAGATTTCGGAAATACCGTCCGAAACTCTTTCCAGCATCACGTTTGATTCTTCCTTACGACCAAATTATGAACAATGCTTCTGAATTTGAAAATCAGTACCAACCTGCAATGTGGACGAATAGACTCATTAGACGGAGGGGACGATAATATACGCCCACATTAAATGTGTCATAAAAAAAAAAGTAGCCACGTGAATTTAAAACAAGGCCGTTCGTGTCACCCTAACACCACCACAATTTAAAATCTTCTGTAGGCGTAGTTCTATTTTACAGTAGCCTACAGTGAACACCCGTTAAGGAAAGAACAGTGATTAAGACTATGTATTCTAGGCATTTTGTGTATAATAAATATAGTATAACACGGACATTTAAAAATCACCGTCTCTTTAATGGTTATTATGCTTAAACGACATCCTATAGGTGATGTGTAACCCATTCCCGGAAACTCAAGACGAAAATAACTGAAATTAAATGAGGTTTTACGTTTTACGTTTTGTAGCAACCGGACGAATAAAAACGGGCATACGTCAGGCAGTATGCTTTCGGGAAATTTTAGCCGGACACTGGTGTTTCCGCTTACTGTTCGTCTAATTCCTACTGCCAATGGTTCTTTTACGCACTGGCTAAGTGGGTAAGACGCTGGCTCGCTACCCTGGAGGCCGGGTGTTCGATCCCTGCATTGGCCGAGAAAGTTCATCCAGATTTTCCGGCGTGGTTTCCCCTTGACGGAGGGCCTGACAGGGACAGCAGTCTAGTCGTTCGGATGGGATGAAAAACCGAGGTCCCGTGTACATATTGGCGTGCATGTAAAAGATCCCTTAGCAGTTTGAATTCGATATAAGAGTAGGCCGTAGCGCCGCTGCCCGGGCAAAACTTCCCTCATCATTAGCCAAGTTCAGGAGCAGAACAGTAGGACGTTAAACCCCATTTCATTTCATTTTCTTTTACGCTCAGCCTAACGTGTACACGGGACCTCGGTTTTTCCTATCATCCGAGCAACTAGATGCTGTTCCTTGCCAGGCCCTTTGCCCACTTTCTTGACCAACACCAGGATATAGAACTCGGGAGGCCATGAGGTTAATGTCACAGCACCTTATCCACTGAACCACCCTGACTCCCAAGACCAAAAGACATAAGCGTGTAGCATACAGATACTTAGAATGTAAATATCGGTGTGATGCTAAATCTAAGTTAGGGCGAGGCTTTTAGAAAGTTAATTTTCTTAAGTAATATTTAACAAAAATAGGACCTAGAAAATGTTTGTATTTAATTTAAATACCATCTTGATCTCGATGCTCATACGGGCTATCTGTCAGCCACTGCCGGATGATTCTGAGAAATAAAGATAAATCTATTGCCGCGTGAAATTAATGTAACATGTAGCAATAACTTAGGATTTTATTCATTGTATTATAGTATTTATATCGACATGATTTTTGTAAGATTACTTTTTACTGTGTATAATATGAATGTCTATATTTGACTACTGGTTTGGAACAAAAGGGTCTAGTTGATCGGATAATCCACAAACTCGGTTACATTTCTTCTCTCAGAAAACTAGCACTGCTTTGTGTTTGATGACCATATATATATATATATCTTTGCAACGAATTGCCCTTTATCATAAAGGCATTCATTCATGTCTTTATTCATGTATTTTTTTTTTAAAATAAGAAGATAAATCAATGCACGTCCCCCCCCCACCCCCAACACAAAAATAATTTCAGGCCAACACATATTTAACTTTGAGAAAGATTTATTTGGTATACAAAAATGGAAATATTTCATTTTTTTGTTAATAATAGGAAGGTTGTTTACCTTGCAATAGCTAGGTAACATAAAAATTCCTGCCGAAAATAGCAACCCAACCCAAAAAAGAAAAATGCCGTGCTATTATTATTATTCCAATGATTTCATGCCAACTAAAACCAAATATAGATTGAATGATTTAATACGCATCGATCATTTCCATAAGGACAATTCTACTAGTAATAAGGATGTCCTGGAGGGGTATAGAAGCTTTAAGTACGCAAATCAGTCGTTCTTGAACTCCCCTCCGAGGCTGCGCTGAGATTGACGAGCAGCCGACAAAAGTTCCAAAATGGCGGAGGTGGATTGAAATTAGAGGTGAGAGTTAAACTTGCTTCTTTCCGTTACTGGGATTATTGCGTATCTGTGTGGTTGTTTGTCTACAGGAAAATCAATAGGTAACATGGAGTATTGAGTATTGCACTATCAGGCCTGTGTATGATATGGATATTGTTTGTAAACACGAGTGATTTTTGTTTTTCTCTGTGTGAATCGGTGAGTTTCTCTGACTCTTGTGCTTTGGCTGTAATGTAAGTGAAGGGATTCTACCGCTGAAGGTTATAATGTAAACAGTACGGTAAACTTTTATGATAGTTACTTCTTGAAAACAGAATATTCGCTTGGTTTTATTACCCATCTAATATTAGTTACACAGGAGCAATGTGTTTGCAAACTTTACAACTTTAGATGTTTTCATATGCCCATATATGTAAACACAAAGTTGATATGCTTTGAAGTAACAGCAATTTAGCTTTACAGAGAACAGCAAGAGTGGCTTGAGCCGAAATATCTTATTCTATTTCGATGCTAATGTATATGTAATCTAATTGAAAAGACTTTTGAATATACATGTATTTAGATATTCACCATTAATAATGAATCCAGTTAGCTTATGTCTATTTGAATCACTGCTACTGTATGTGTGGAAGAAACTATGCAATATTCCATATAATGCCCCTACATTTTAGTTATTGGTATAAATTGTGAAATACAGGCATTATAAGATTCGATTAATGTTACCATAATACAATAAATGATATATATTAACACGAACATATTCCTATTTAAAGATAATAATTCAGAGATAAACCCCATATCATGGAATATTTTGTAGCTCTATTTTATACAATGTATGCTCTTTCTGTATGAAATTTGATTCAACTGAATTTGAAAGAAATTTGATACTTTTGGCATTAATGTGGACCAATTAAAAATTACTTGACTTAATTAATTTAAAGAGACTTTATCACCAAGGAAATTAATGCAGTTAATTCTGAATAATATAATATTAAAAATAATTTAATTATTGGAAATTTTTAAGCTCTGCTCTACTTGGTATAACATGTTTTTTATGGGTGTAGGTTAAAGTAGCTAAGTCTCTAACTCAATATCATCCAAAGTCTTTTGACATTGAAAACTCGAATTATTTGTCAATTTAAATCAACACTGATGGGCTTCTGATATCCAAAATATAAGACAAAATAAACATTTTACCATTGGTACACGAATCATGTACAATAATGCGTTTCAGTGCCATTTGTAACAAGGGACTCGGAAGAACGGTGACGCCATATTCTTATCTGGAAAGCATGCGCAATAAATACTATCGATGTAGACTGGAATAATTGCAGACGCTAGAGATTGTCATTTGATTGAGACTTCTGGCATATTTCGCTGAACATAACCGATTAGAAATTACAGTAAAAACAGAAACGATTGAATGTAAATCAGTTATATTACATTATTATATGCGTTGCGACCCATTTGCGTCAATTTTTAGGTCCCAAATATTAGTGATTTACCTCCTTTAAACTCTGAAAACCACTTTAAAAGTCAATAGTCAATACCTGTATATCTTACTGCGACACTGACATAATATTCTGTTCAATTATGCATATGATCTAAACTGGAAATTAAACATTAAAATGTAAATGCACAATTTGATATGGGAATAAAAATAGAAATCAGTTCCATATTCACTTATAAATTATAAATGTTTGGAAAATGTTTATAACCAATAATTACATTATTGTAGGATTTTTAGGGCAGTAAGCATAAAAAATTGTTACATGTATTCATATTGAATTTGACCGTAAATTTCCCTAATTATGGTATATGTCCCCCAGCTCTAAAACCAAATTATAAAGATCATAGTCCAGTAAATATGTATCTACCCTCAACCCCATTACTAAAATTGATTATGGTACATAGAGTAGCTAAACTTCTTTTGGTTTCGTCAAAATAATGTTGAATTGGGTTGATTTGATGTTTTGGCTTGTTAACTTCTTTTTTTAAAAATTGGCTTCATGTGTCAAAAACTCAAAATCTGAACACTGCCTTTGTCTACAGAAATGAAATAGTTTTATTTTTGACCCAAATCACAAATCAAAGAGGTCTAGTCATTTTAATATTGTCTGTCAAAATGATTATGACCTGACATAACATTATGCACAAGTTCATTGAGACAGGTTCACTCAACACTAATTCAGACATTAGTGTTAAATGGGGCACTTAAATATGCACTGTGCTTTTCACTATGTTGAGCTTTCTGATGTTGAAAGAAGAGTCGACTTGGTGCTAATCTTTCAATAAGCAATGGTGGAAAAATAAAAACAAAGAGTAAACTTGACCAAGAAAAAAAATAAACACAAGGGTCACACAGTAGTGTAAAAAATGAGTAAAACAATCTCTTCAGAAAATACTAATCTAAAGGTAAATAAATTTTCAGAAAAAGTAAAAGTAAAAGTATTGATTGGTACACCTTTGTGTGTTATTGGGGTCCTTTTAGGGGCATCATTGTTGACTGCTTGTTAACAGGAAAATTTGCAAACTTCTCTCATATTTGTTTCTTTCAATACAAAACATATATGAAAGCACAAACAGTAATTCAGAATTCCGTATGTGTTGATAATTCTGAATATAAAACGATAGGCTATGTAAAAGTTGACACATTTAATTCCCCCCAATATTTTATTGAAAATATGACATTTGTCTTTTCAGGTGGTATAAAATGACCTGAAATAAAGTGTATAATGGGTAGATAACCCTACTGTGTTTTAATGGAAGTATATGTACTCATGGATTAATAAAAAAATTAAATTGAATGAGCGTAAAGAAAATAATAATGTGCTGATTGACATTTGAAAAACATATAATTTTATTACAAGTGAATGGAGTTAGTTTATTGTGTATTAAGAATCTGGATTCTCTAATACCTATGTGTTCAGAAAACTGCTCATATTTACTTCTCTTTCTGAATTAATGATTTATAAATCTTGTTTTCCTATTCCCCTACTCCTCTTTTGTGTTCTTCCCCTCCATTGCTATGGAGGCAAAAGGAAATGAAGAGGAACCTCCAAAGCTAGTCATACCAAAGTCAAGTTCTTTTTCTCCAAAAGTAACACGTCCAAAATTACCCTCTTTTGCTAGAAAGCGATCTTCTAGCCCTAGACATAAAACAGACCCTGGCCATGGAGAAATACAAGCTATTATGCAAGATATTCTTAATTTAAACAAGGTGGATTTTGTCAAAACGTATAGCCGTCCTATTACTCTGCGGTCTCAAATTGCACAAAAATCTTCATCAACTGATACATCACCAACAGCCTCACCAGCTGCTGGATCGCCAACAGTTGACGACCCCAGACAAGGCTTTACTAGAAATCGGAGTCGAAGTCTCAAATTGCTCACAAACAAATTGAAGAAGTTCGGACCAGATGAAAAAGTTAAGCTTACAGATCCCAACACAGTCTCTGAAGAAGTGAAAGCCCACATGATGGAGGTCGAGAAGTCTGCTGGATCTGGAGAAGATCTAGATGAAATGAGTAAATCTACAGATTCAGAATCCAAAGCTCCAAGTTGTGATTCTCCAGTTCCAGATGCTGATACTTTATTGGCCATGCGAAAAATTTCACAATGCACCAGTGCTGATGAAGATTCTTCCAGAGAATTCTTTGATGAAGCTGAGGAGAATGCTTTAAGTGATGCAGGAGGAGAAGGTCATTTAGCATGTGGACAAGACACTCCCAAGATCTATGCTGATGATGAAGGCCTTGGTAACAGTGATGAACACCAGAATCCGGTAGTCAGTACATTTACATATCAGCCAATTGGAAGAAATTCGCCATTTCTAAAACTAGCTGCCACTGCACCATATCCTAAACGGAGAACGGGTATTACAACGCTGAAGACATTAAACAAAGTTCAAAATTTATATGGTAAAGGTGATGACGATGGTGGCAGCAGACGACAACAACGCCTTGAAGGTTCATCACCAAATAATGCTCAGAAAGCCTCCCCGGTAAGATTTATTACACACCCTCCACATAGAAAAGCTGCATTCCATGAAGAAGGTGCAATGGATAGTAATGGTTTTGCAGCTTTTAAATCATCATCAGGAGATAGTGATGAAGAAGGTAAACAAAGTCAGACGTCGCTAGCAGATAGCCATCTGTGTCCTAGTGATGGTGGAGACATTGAATCATATCAGGATGCAGTAGAAAGTGTCACAACAGAAGGAAATGATCCAGAAAAACAAGATCGTAAAAATGGTAAATCCGTCAAACAAAAATCAAAAAGTGATCCAGGAGGAAATAAATGTGCCAATATGGGTGAATTTCCTTCTGTCACAGATTCTTCGGTATCTCAGAGTGCACCACTCTTGTCTAAGGAGGATAGATTTGACAGTATTGATGAGGACTATTGTGTCTCTGAGGACGATTCAAAAACAGGGGCAACTCCTGAAAGGTATATTTTGATAGGTGGAGATGAAAGTGGTAATGAAAGAACATCGGATGAAGATGACAAACCAGATAGACAGGAACGTGAACGGTCACCACGTGATACTCTTAGTCCTGTCAAACATGGAAGAACATCTGCATCCTCTGTTTTTTCATCAGCTCCTCCGTCCCCTAAATGTCAGTCCCCAACTAACGTGCCTGATTCATCAGACAATCTTCTAAGTGTGCCAACCCCTCGCAAACCCATTTTACGAAGTGCCAGCTCTGCTAGTGTATTACAGAGAGATAGACTCAAATTTGGATCTAGCAGTGGAAAAGACAAATCGGACGTGATACGAAAGTACAGTATTACAACTGATGATAATAATAAAGGGAACACTTTAGTACCTGATTTTACTCCTCTTGGTGATACAGGAGGAGCTACTAGTATGCCTTCAGTATGGAGGGATCGGATACTTACCTCAGATTCACCTGAACGTGATCCCGACTTTGTTAAGGTAAGGTCAAATTCTAGTTATCTTTTCTTATAATTTTCTGTATTGCATTTTGTTTACTGGCAACTAATCAACTAGGGTCTTATTCACAAGTTCACATATAACTAATATCTTATAAGGATGCAGCTTTTTCAATAGCTATCCATGCCAACAGATTTTAGTTCTCACTCTCAGCCAATGGATAAATCTGCATCCTGTGATATTTTACCTTAAATTTTTAAGAATAAGTCTTAATACATGTATCTTCTCCACATTTTATTGATTACTCATTTTATCCTTCAATATTGATGGTCAGACATTTTACATTCCGAGCATTGTTCTTTTCTGTCCAAATGATAGAGATCGCAGTTAAACCTGTACAAAGAGATCTCGAGAAGGAATTGATTTTAAATAAGTGGTTTTCTCTCTGCAAGTTGATATTATAGATGGATGTTTTATTTGATGAGGGTACCTATACATGAACAACTTGTTACAGGTCATTGAAACAGGTATTTGCTACAGGTGGTCTCATTATCAGGATTCACAGTATATTTTTTTCATATTACATGTTTTTCCACAAAAGTGCAAGTGCATGTATATATATTTTGGGCAGGTGGAGTCAAATACCATAATGTTCAGCGTTGGAATATACTCCTACACAATTTACATACATTGTACAGGTATTTATGTATGCAATTCTTTTTGTGAAATAATACAGAAGTCGGTTTTATCTAGAAATATTTGTAATTTAATAGTAGCATTTCCGTCTGAACATTTATTGTAAGTAGTAGTGATACATGTCTATGAGTTATAATGACCATTGGCTTGATTTATCAGTCTATTATCACATGGCACCAACAATTCAATGGTACGTGTTTGAAATGAGAGATGGTTAGTCTGTTGTAGGAGTTTAAGGAATTTCTTACTTCTCTCACATGAAATAGATACTTGAGGTAAATAGATTGGTAGGAACTACTTGAAGTGGCACATCACACCACCAACTTGTTTGTTGTTGTAATCTTGGCTTATTCACCAAAGTTAATTAGTCTTGTTTTTTTACAACCTTGCCATTGCCTACACTGCGGGAATAGATTTATGCTTGAGGTAAAGGTATATATAGGTCATCAAATGCATTCCAATGGGAAAAAATGCAAAAAAAACTTATGTAATTTTCAGAATTTGTAATTATATATTTACATGTTAGAAAATATGCCTATATGGAATGGTAGTGAATTAAATTAAAGCCTGAAGGTCCAAAATATTTTGGTAACCATACCTAAAACAATCCCAAACCAATGGACATGTTTAGACCTACTGTAACAAGAATAATTAAACCGTTTAATATTATGAAAGCTGTGAATATTGATTTTAACTGGAATATTAATGATTTTTGGCAATTTATTTATACATGTATTAAGAAACAAACTTGGCACTTGGCAGGTATGTATGTAAAACAAAGATCAAAATCTTCCAGGAAAGAGAATGCTAAATAAATAATGTGATGTGAAATCCATTACTATAACAAAGTACCGTACTTTTGATTGTTGTAAATTTATCTTGGGAGTAAGATTTAGGCTGGTTTTCGTAGATTGTAGTAGGGGACAAATTTGCCAAACTTTGTTGATTGACAAGATACCAGAATATGTTCATTACTCACACTTCATGTACATGTATTGAACCTGCATTTAACAAGGGTTTAGGTTAATTGTAGCTGTTAGAAAATGAAATGGTTCATTTTGGTAATTTTGACAAATTAGGCAGGTCAGTTTATTCAGTAAACAACATCCAAAATCAGACAGCTACATTTCTGCCATACATGTACATGTATCGACATTCCTTCACACATATATAATATAGGTACCTATATATTATCCGTTTTCATCATGTCTGAATAACTCCTTAGAAGTAGAAGTAGAACTCCAGTTATTACTACATGTACATGTATTTAACACCAGGATTCATGAATGGGACATTCTAGTTAAGTCAAATGTTCTACTGTTCTAAATGTAAATTTACCCACACAGTCAAAAGTTGTTTGTTGAGTGGTTGTTGTTTTAGTTTCTGTTAAATCATGGCCTCCAGATCATGATAATTTGATCGTTTTAGGTCTCTTTTTAGGGAGTAGGAACTGGGCCCTAAGCACTACTCATCTTGCTGTTTTTCTTGGAAATGACGCCCTTTGAAAAAACCTCTGCCAATGCATTTACGATGGAGATGAAACTTGGCATGCTTGTTTTATGGACAATTGCACATCGATTATTTTTTTTATATGACTTCATGGTCGATTCTTGGTCCATAATATGCTTGTACTTGTTTGGTAACTGCCATGTTTTGGTGATGATTGTAATAAACATGTTAAAAAGCAGGTACATGTACATGTATGGTTAATATTTGCTATTTGTATTAAAACAAAGTATACTTCCACATGCACAAAGCAGTGGTAGGTATTATTTCAGATCAGATACATAAAATATTACAATGATTCTCCATGCTTATTTACGATCATGAAGTCTGGTATCTAAAGAAGAGCAAATTTTTTTAGCTATATTTTTATTTGCTTAATGATAAAACCACTAAATGTAAACAGACACTGGGTACAGGTAGGTAGAAATCTAGCATCCAGCAAAGTGGTATCATATACATGTAAGCATCTACATGTAGTAAATCATTACAATAGTCACCATACATGGGTAGGGTTAGGTGTTTGGGAGAGGTTAAGACATTAGACTCACAACTAGGATGTTCGATTTGAATCTTGACATGAACCAAGAAAAACTGTGAAAATTGTTTAAATCTGAAATGGAAAGTGTGTCTAGTGTTTCAGATGGTTTAATAACCAAGTTTCATGTTGTTAGTAGCACACACAAACAATTATAGGTGGCAAATATAACCATATAAATAAAACTTTTTACACTGACATTAATCATATTTGCAACGTTGTCCTCACTTTTCTCATTTCGAACATATTCTTTGACCTGCTCTTGATTGAATTGGTCCTTTGGTAATTGGTATCTAATTAAAAAGATTCTGGATGTAAATTCTAATTGATAATAAACACTTTAACTCAGAGTGCATGTAATACTCCTCAATATCCCTGTCCCTTCATTTCTATTCTGAAAATATTTTCAATATGAATATTGATTATGGCAGCTGCTTTAACAGCAGAATTTCATGATAAAAGAGATAATGCATCACTCTTGAGCTTTCAACATATTAATATGGATTTCTGTAATTTTCTCATGCAGTTTTTTATCTGATAAACTACTGTTTTTCGAAACATAAAGCTATTTCTTGTTGATTTGATGCAATTTTGAAATACATGTATGTGTAGTTCTTAAAGAGGCGATGCAGTAGGTCAATCCAATTTTCATTATTTGAATAGTTTTGGTACTTTTGATTTAGTTTCTGTTACACAGAATTATACAGGGTGAGAAGCCCTGACTCTAGGAGGGTTGTGGGGTGGTCTTTCCCACCTGGTGGGTAAAATTGTTTGAAAAACTGAATGTAAATGGTGCTTTCTAGAGTATACGTATGTCCAGAGTACCAAACCTCTATAGAATGTTTTGCTTACCAATTCATTAACTTCTTTAGGGGCCCCCTATCTTAACATACTCATTGACTTCTTCTCAGTCCATCCCTTGAACTATAATACCTGTATATACATACATGTATGCTCGACTGGCAACAAATATACATGTATGGTTTGGGACATTGGTCTTCAAGTCATCTGTTGACTGAGACTACTATACTGAGAATCTGATATGACATGTGCAAATTTGAAGACTGCATATATTGAAAAAAATGAGATAAAACGCCGGTTTAATTTTAAAGAAAAACTGGTCAATAGAACAATCAAATTATTTTTTTCTTAGTTGTATTTTTCATTCCAGCAGATTGATTAATCATCTAACATATTTTTGTGTTTCCTGTGTTTCCTGAGTTTTACTTCCCATATAAAACAAAAAATAATCATTTCAATTAAATTATTTTCTGGTTATTCAAGACTACATTGGATTAATCTCTCTATTTTATTTTTATTCTGGGTGTGTACAATTAATGTACCGGTAATACAACTTGTATTATACAAGATTCTGTATACAAGACTGCTGTCTTATCAAAAGTGACATTGTATATCTACATATGAATTTTCCAAATGATTGGAAAAAGTATGATGTATGTGAATATGTACATATACATTGTACATGTATGTACACTTTCACTTGTTTTCATATTGGCAATAAATCAAAGTTCTGGACTAAATTAATAACTTCAGTATGTACTTGATGGCTGAAATCAAATGTTGGTCTTATCTGTGTAGGTTATTTACTTTCCTATAGAAGTAACCTAGTTTTACCAGAAACTTCCATCAGGAATTTCACTTTGAAAATAGATTTTCTAATAAATAGATTCCTTTAAAAAGTGTTCTATCAGCCTTTGTTGGAATTCGTCTTGGCACATCTTATGAGCAGTGCAACTACATGTAAAGCCATCTACCAAATGTGCCAGTTCTATAAATTATATGCAACAATACGGCAACACAACAAAAAATTAAATGACTGTATGACAAATTAAAAGATGAAAGATCAAGATCACAACAACGCAACAAAGAGACAGAGGGCAGGGCGAATAGTTGCGAATACCTCAACACAATCAAAAACGGGTTGCCCACACGACGGTCAAAACATGGTTGTATGACAAGTATGACAAAAGCTCTCGATCCTGTCATGATTGTGTTTTTGATTTGTTGTGTTGTCATGATCTTGTGTTCATATTTGTCATGCTAATAGTGATTGCATAATTATGCTGAAAAGTAGACATATGTAAAAGGACACAACAGACTGCCATATTTTAAAGATGCTGAAATGTAATGATATGAATTTTGTGTTTGCACTCCCCACTAAGTAATATACATGTATTTATTTTGTCCACCAGGCTTATGTTTTACCTTCTGTTAATATTAAGTTGATTGTCCATTAACTTTTCACAAAATTTTTGACATCTGCTTTTAAAGGCTCAATACCACT